GGGCAAATCCCCACAGTGACTCTGTTCATGGGGGCTTGGGTGTGTGTCGTCAGGCCTGTGCCCGCCTCCCCTACAAGAACAGTAACTGGAAGACGCAGCACACCAGCTGGGGGCAGGGTGCTTTACCTGGAGTTGACCAGGGCATCGCGAACCTCAAGGTCAGCAGAGTCAAGCTGTCTCTTCCTCCATGCTCTTTACCTCTTCTCTTTTACCAGGAAGAGGTGATTTCGTATCACAGGGGACTAAAGAGGAGCAGACACTTTCTCCTCTATTCATAGTTTGCTGCCATCCCTCTTATCTCTGCGGCTCTGCCCAGATCTCTCTGTCTTTCCACATTGTTCTATCTTGAGACTCTACCCATCCCAGAGAAAGGCAAATCAAGTCCACATCCCAGAGTCACACTGAAGAGTGAAGCAAACTCTTCTGATGCCTGTTCTGATGAATGAGGAGTGTCAGCCCCATCAGCCTGGGGAGGACCTGCCTTTCTGGAGGGATGTCATATGGGTTTCATTTCCTTCCTTGTCTCTAGTGCCTGTCAGCCTAGCTTGTATCACGTAGTTTTTACATTTACTCATTTGAATCAATAGATTGCTTGATTTAAAAAAATTGGGTAAAAATCCAAATGGACAAAATATTCATGATTCCCTACTTGGTATCCCCAATTTGGATTTTTAGCAGACAGTCACATTTAACAGGTGTTATGAGGTAAATTCAGTCCCTCCAAAAAAGCATGCTGATATTCTGATTCTCAGTACCTCAAAATGTATTTTGATCTTCAAAGTGTAAGGTGAATAATTTAGTACTTACTATTTCATTACCTATTTCTTCCATWTCTGTATAGTTACTATAATCTGATATCTTACCCCTAGATCATTATTATCACCTTTGTATTCTCTCAGCTTTGAGGGCAATCAGTTTTGACCCTTGCACTTAGCAAACATCATCTAGACTGAGCACAAATTCATTTGCAATGCCCATCACTAGTCATTTTTACAGAACAAATTCCTGAGCTCTTAATCATGAGATGTATCTCTTTTATTGGCTGCAGTACTTCTTTAAGTCCCCATACAGTCTCAGGGCACCGACCCAGGATTTTGCACAGTGAACCCTTCTGTCTTCATGGATCCTCATGTTTTACAATGGAATATGAAAGAAGAAACTATCAGGAAATATTTTCCTAGTGGTATCTATAGATGGAAATCTGTACTTTAAAGATTTGTTTATTGTTTTATCTTTACTTTGTAAGAGAATGAATATCCTTCCATGTGTTTATATACTAGTTATAATTTCTCTTTTGGATGAAGGATTTTATAGTAGTTGATCATTTAGCAACAGTGTTTTTTATCAATCTATCACCAACTATATTTAAAAATGATATGAACTATTTGACATATTTACTGCAGGTACAGATTTATTTTGCTATGTACTGCAGTTGTAAACTTTTTTGTCAAATTAATAAAAATTAAAATATGTTACAAATCAAATCAGTTGACACCTTATAGTCAGCTCTAGCTTTAGAAAGGATATATATCCTTCTAGAGATTCAATTGTTTCATTACATTTTTCTGCTTCTAACAAAACAAAAACCTAACTAAAAATTCCTCTTGGATAAACCAACTTTTTAAGACCTTGTCACTGAACATGCAGAGTTCAAATCTACCTTTGCCATGTATTAGCTCTGTGATGCTGGGCACTCCCATTATCAATCCTTTCATCTACAAAACAGGAATGATGATAACAGAAATGCATAYCCTTTAAATCCAACGACTGTAAGGGTTAAATCATTTCATTATTTTTCATTTGCTAAAAATATGTATTAAATATTTTAATATTAAAAATATTAAATATTTTTAATATATTTCTTCCTGTGCCAGGGACACAGGATAGAAATCTAGGGTCAGTGAATATAGCAATAAATAATACAGATGCAATTCCCTGTCCCTGTGGAGCTGACAGTCTACTGAAAGCAGAGCGTGCTCAGTAAATAGGAGCACTGGACAAACGGACTTGCGCATGGTGGGTGCTACCATGATCATCAGGCCAGGGGTGGAGGGAGGAGATTAAACTGATTTTTCTTTGTAAATTGTTAACCAGCATAACTTAGCTGTCTAGGAACTATCAAATTTTAAACTCCCAGGATTTTGGTAAATCATTAAAATGGCTTGCAATATTTGTAGAATATTCTCTAAGGTATTGTGATGGTATCATTTTATTTAAAAGGTATCCTTTTATTTAAAATAAAACTAAACAAGCCAGAAAATAACAACCAACATAACTCAGATTCTGTGCATATACAGACAAGAAGTTGCCTCTCCTCTTACTCTGCTAAGGCTACACGTATTTCTAAAGCACCTGTACTGGGTAGCTTCACAGGCTAGCACATCATGGCTACTAGCAGCCTCTGGATGAAGCAAATTGTGCCTATTCCATTCTTCTGATTCTGAAACCCAAATTCTGATTTCAAGACAAATGAGGAATAAGATTTATCWTCTTGCTAACCCAAAAACTTGAATAAAATATAGGGTTTACCAGTCRGTTGCAATCTATTTGGTACGATGTAGTTGTTACYTTAGTCTGTTTTCTGTTTTTATAATGGAATACACAAGACTGGGTAACTTACAAAGAGTACAGGTGTTATTAGCGCATAGTTCTGGAGGCTGGGAAGACCAAGGGCATGGCTCCGTCATCCGATGAGGACCTTCTTGCTGCATTGTAACAGCAGTGGTCATCACATGGTGAGAAAGAGCAAGCTTGCTCTCTCTGGTCTCTCTATTTTCATTAAAGCATTAACGCCCTCATTAGGGCTCCATCTAATCCCAAATAGTTCCAAAAGGCCCTACCTCCAAATACTGTTAACATATTCCTTTGGGGATGAAGTTTCCAAACATAAATTCTGGGGGATAAACATTCAAACTACAGCAGTTGCTTGGTTTGGAAATATTTTACTTTCTCCTCTCCTGCTAGACAGAAAGTACAGAAGGACTGTCCCCTACCAACAATCTAAAATCCCAAAGGGAGGAAGCTTCATTCTGACAAAACTGCAAGGGTCAAGTTATTTTCCATTCAGACAATAAATTAAATACAAAAATAGGAAGAAACACTTAGTAATAAAAAATGGGATTTTGAAAGTGAGAGAAGTAGAAATACGGTGTGAATAACTTTGATCTCATATATTTCTTATTAACATTCATGACAAAAACGGTCAGTTTGTTCTCATAAAATCCATGCAGCTCACTCTACCTGTCACCCCAGGGAATATGCCTTTCTATTTCCTTGACACATAATTTTATTAGAAGTATCAGAAAATGTCAAGCTAACCATCATTTGGAAAAGGGACTGTCCAAGACTCTCAGCAGTGCCCAAACAGAAGCTTGTGGGGGGTAAAGTTCACGCAAGAAAAACTCATTCATCTTGACAGTAGGCTTCCCCCAAATGACAACTCTGCTCTAAAAAGGCAATAACATCCAAKTTTTTGCAGGTTTTGTCCCAAGGGCCAGGTTCATATATTTAAAAGAGGAGTGATTCTGATATACTAGCATATTATTTGCATACSTCTATGTGGTTTTCAAATTAAAGTTCTATTATGACAATCCTTTCTGTGGATATTTTGTAACTTTTAGTTTCTCATTTCTTTATTATTCCCCAAACCCCCACCAGCAACAACAACAACAGCAAAAACTCAGACCTTCCAAACTAAAGGGGCGAATTATACACAGAGAGCTTCTGGAAGAATAAAGGTAAATGACAAAAAATACTTACTAGGGCTTCTGTTGCTCTGAGATAATTTTGTAGAAAATCATATATTAAATCTACCTTCTTCCTCCAAACTTCAGTGGGGAAAATTGTTATTATTTTATTCTATAATAGCTAACGCCTATTTTGCCATCAATAAACTACCATTGTACCCTTAAAGATTGCTGTAAATGTGATAATACTGTAAACCAGCTTGCCTCAAGCTTTATCTCAGCATCCCTTTAAACCCGTAAAAATTCCTAAGAACCCCTAAAGAGTGCCATGAACATTCACTATATCAGAAATTAAACTGACAAATTTTTAACTTCTTTAATATTTAATTCACTTTCAAATAAAAATAATGAGCCTTTTGCATATTAACAATAATGAGCCTTTTGCATATTAACATAAGTAATAAATTGTAATACAAAGCAACTATTTTCCCCCCCAAAAAAATTAGTGTTCTCTTTAATGTTTAGATGAACAAGAGACAATCTACATTTATATCCCATTATACAACTGGTCAGTGACATGCTGTTTTAAGTATATAAAGAAGATGAGGCCTAACGTAAATAGTTGTTAGAAATGGAAGGAGAATGGAAGCCCCTTCAAATAACTGTCAATATTTCCCTTTGATACTATACCAAAATGTGTCAAATGACAGTTTTGTAAAAATTTGTTGCTATATAGAATCTAATACCGTATATCAATGAACTTTTCCTTCATTACATTAAAATATATTGGTCTATCTTGATAACTGGAATTTTGTATCATTGTGTACTGGTCCTTTGGAAAATATCAGCTCCCTGAGTTATGGAGACACACAAATGTATAAATATTTCAATACACTATTAAAAATTAGTTTTGTTAATGTTATTACTAATCTTATCAGAGAAATAAACACTGGTAAACTATAAACTTCATAATGGCAAACATAAATTGTCCAAAATTCTCATTTTCCTATAAATTTCAAATGTTATCATGGGTAACAAACACTATAAGTTCTGCTCATTTTGCTCATTCTTAAGAAAATGTCTGCCAAATACCCAAGTCTRAATAAGCACAGTCTGTGCATTGTTTTTTCAAACAAGATGGTATTCCATGAAAAGAGCATCTTCTTCAATTCTCAACTCAACCATGTGCCCTACCTTAAGACCACCATCAGTTTTGTTACACAGCAGAAATGCCTACGTGGCATCCTGGTTTTCTAGAGGAGGAAACAGCTTTTCAAATGTGTGCCTTTTCTATGTATGAGGAGACTGACTCACCTGTATGCTGCCCGGTGTCTCTGCAGGGCAATTGCTGCCAGATGAAGAYGGGCTTCCACCACAATCTCCAACTCAGCAGCACAACAATGAGACAGGTCCTTGTGGCCTGGATGCTCCACCTCGGACACAAGGAAGTTTAGCCTCTCTTCAGCTTCCATCAGTAAAACCGTCTAAAGAATAAACACCACACAATCACATGTTCAGAAATAATGTCTCATTCTTATCAAATATTTTATGTGTGAAAAGCAACAATGAATGGAAAACTAAACGGAAATCTGTACATAATCATCAGATAAGAGAACTCAATAAAAAGGAAAAAGACAACAGAAATTTAAAAAGTAAGAGCAAGAGGAAGGACAATAGCTATCCTTTACTGTATGGATAGCCAATGCTCATTATTAACAACGATTCTAGAAAGTTCTGAAAAGTTTTCCATAAACACTGATTAATAAAAACTAAACTATTGCTCTCAGGGAAAATAGAGAAATGAACTCCTAGAAGCCTCTGGGCATAACCCTTTCATCAACTGCTCAATATCTTACGTTGTTTACATGTGTATTCATAGTTAAGGACACATTTAATATATACATATAGTTGATTCATTAACCAGGGACTCACAACAAATATCACTATAATTCAGGTCTAGTTGACATGCATATTTTCTCTGTAAGGCACTGCATAGCTTTCTTGCACTTAGAAACATTAGACAGCACTTCAACATTATGCTTGAAGGATATTTTAAATAGTAAAATTATCAATCCCCCCAAAAAACCATGAAAAACATGATTCAATTAAGCATACCTAATGCAAAAATCTGAAATCTAAAATACTCTGAAATCCAAAACTTTTTGAGCACTGACATGACACAGGAAATATTTTACTTTTTGGAGCATTTCAGATTTTGGATTTTCAGATCAGGGATGTCCAACTAGTGAAGTCTAAAGTGTAGAAAAGGACATTTATTGATAGTATGAGAACTGAAAAGATAAGTCAGAGAATCACCCTGTTCAACTCAGTTGGGCAACTCTAATTTTTCTATGCTCTGGGTATGTCCACAGATAATTTTAAAAAGTGCCAAGAGTACTGATTTGGGGAATATACAAAAATTTACCAGATAGACAATGTAACAACAGGACAAATTGTATTCCAACTTCAACTGTGATAATGTGAAGACAATGAGATTTTACAGTAGATAATCAGTAGTTAAATATCACTCTGACATGGCAGAAATTTTTTTAATAATCAATTTTTTAAGCAACAGGTCTCTAAAACCTTGTTTGTACCAAACAGTAAATATCATATATAATAATATATAACAATACTAGGGTAATACATATATAATATAAGGACAATTTACTAACATGATTAAGAACATAGGACAAAAAAATCGATAGGTCCTACTCTCAGATCTGTATTTGATTATTTGCATAACATTAGTGAATTTCATAAACTAAGTCTCAGTTTTCTCATGATTCATCACAGAATAGTTAAAAAATTAAGACCTATAACATGGAGTTGTGAAAATTAAATAATCATGAAAAATGCCTGTTATATAGTAAGTATTGAATAAATGGTAGCTGCTGCTTCTGCTACTATTGTCATCATTACGATGAGGAAATGAGAAACAGGGCATGGAATACTCACATCCCATCAAACAATAAATCAGATTTTCTGTATCATCTTAATTAGGTTGCACAGCAAAGCCTGAAACCTCTGGGCATATACTTTTCTCTTGAGGAGTACATACTGTCCTAGCCCCCACCTATCCTTATGCAAGAAAAGATACCTGATCTCCCAAGGGCAAACACCACCCCGAGAGTGGGCCTGTTCAAGCCCAAATGTATGCATTTGATAACTGCTTCCCTATGATTTGAAAAAAAATCAGACTTACCTTTAGCATGTTAAGAGTGAACTCATCTTTAAATTTTGTAAGCTGATACAATGAGCCTCCATCATCCTTTATATATAGCTCTACAAAGACATGATATTTTGGAAATACTAAGGAAATATGTGGTTACTTTAAATATTAATTGCAGTTTTTAAAGTCCATCATTCCTGAGAAACTATCTATAGATTTAATATAAAAATAATCACAGTAATCATTAGATTTTGTTTATTGTGACAATTAACATTGTAGATGTTATAACAGGAACTATTTGGTTTAATGCTGTATATTATTYGTATTGGTTGTTTTTATTATTTATCTTCCCCTAAATGGCCAGGTTCTGGAAACCTTCAAGGACACAGGGTAAAAATTCTACTGACCAAGATCCATACTGTTAGATTGGTAGACACAGAACATAAAAAAGCAAGGGAAAAAAATCACCCCAAACAAACCAAGATACTTCAATAACAAAGTCCATCAACACCACAATGTAAGAAATATCAGAGAAGGAGTTTAGAATGTACATAGTTCAACTTATCTGCAAGGTAAAGGATGATATAAGAAGTGAAATCACAGAGAAAATACAGGAGGGGAAAGGTCATTCTAATAAAGAATAGAGATTCTGGAAAAAGTCAAGTAGAAATCCTGGAAATGAAAGAATCAATAAACCAAATTAAAAATTCAATGAAAAGTATCACCAAGAGAATAGACCACTTGGAATACAGAGTTTCAAGCAAAGAAGACAAAATATATAATCTTGAAAATAAAATTTATCATGGAGAAAAGATGTTGAACAAATATCCCATCTTTTTTTGAAATATTAACAGGGATTTGAATTTTCTAGTACTGGAATTGATTTTAAAGGTAGGTATTTCATGCTGTGGCTATTTGGCTCCCTGCAGATTTCCTTATATTCCTCTGTTTACCATGAAAAAGATAGGGAGACACAGCTATGGAGAAATTATTTCTAAGCTAATCACTGTTTTTCAATAAAATAACAGTTGGGCTCCAAAGTACTGTAATGAAGTTTCAGAATACTGAATTACTGTGAAATAAATTTTTAAGAATTATAAAAAAAGAGAGACCTTGAACAGACATCCAAGAAATACAGGATAACCAGAAAAGACCAAATTTAAGATTTATCAGAATAGATGAAGGCTCAGAGACACAAACCAAAGGAATGCACAATCTTTTCTTCAAGAAATAATATAAGCAAATTTCCAAAACAAAAGAATGAAATGAAAAACTAAATACAGGAAGTTTACAGGACCCCAAATATACAAARTTACAACAGACCTACACCAAGGCACATTATTATGAAAATGCCTAACAAAAAATAGAATAAGGATAGAATTTTAAAAGCTACTAGAGAAAAATGACAGGTTACATTTAGAGGGAAACCAATCCAGATCTCATCTGGTTTCTTAACACAAATCCTCAAAGCTAGGAGATCTGGGAATAATATATCCCAATCTCTGAAAGAAAATTAATGCTGACCAAGAATACTATACCCAGAAAATTAAGCTTTAAAATTTACAATGAAATAAAAACCTTCCATGATAAATCAAAGTGGAAAGAATGTACAACTAGAAAGCATGTACTACAAATCATTCTCAATAAATGTTTGACAAGAAGAAATAAAAAATAAAAGTGAAAGCCAGCAAAGGAAGAASTATAATAGAATAGACAATCAAAGGAGAAACTAACTCAAATTGAAAACAAGAAGTAAATCAAAATGAKAGGGAATAAAAATCATTTCTTAATAATGACATTGAATATAAATGGCCTAAATTCATTAATCAAAAGACATAGACTGGTGGGCTGCRGATATAACCCAGTTGGTAGAGTGCTTGCCTTGCATGCACAAGGCCCTGCCATCAATTCCCAGCACCATTTAAAAAAAAAAAAAGACATAGACTGGCAGATTGGATTAAAAAACAAAAGTCAACACTATGGGTGTTCCCAAAAAACTCACTTTATAGGAAAAGAATTCCACAGACTAAAGGTAAAAGGATGGAGAAAAAAAGTATCATTCACATGAATCTCATAAACATGCAGGGGTTTCTATCCTCATCAGATAAAGAACAATTCAAGCCAAAGTTAATCAGAAGGGACCAAGAAGTACATTCAATGTTGTTTATGGGAATTATACATCTAAAAGACATATCAATAATTAATATTTATGCACCAAACAATGGAGCATCTACATACATCAAACAAACCCTTCTCAATTTCAAAAATCAAATAGACTGCAACCCAATAATACTGGGTGATTTAACATGACTCTATCACCACTGGATAAATCATCCAAACAAAAATTTWAAAAAGAAGCTATAGAACTAAATTGTACTATTGAAAATTTAGATTTAACATACATAGATAATATTTCATCCATCTTGACTAAATACACTTTCTTCTCAGCAGCACACAGACCTTTGACTAAAATAGACCATATCTTAGGCCACATGGCAATTCTTAGTAAATACAAAAAAAAAATAGAGAAAATATTTTGCATTCTATCAGATTGTAATGGAAATTAGGATAAATGGCTGGGGTTGTGGCTCAGTGGTAGAGTACTTGCCGAGCATGCATGGGCACTGGGTTCAGTCCTCAGCACCACATAAATGTAAAATAAAAAGAAAGATCTTGTGTCCACCTAAAACTAAAAAAAAATTTAAAAAAGAAAAGAAATCAGGATAAAATAAAAAATAGAAGCCACTCTAAAACCTGGAGACTAAATAATATGTTATTTAATGATTAATGGATAGTAGAAGAACTCGGTGGTAAAATAAAAAAAAATACTTAGGGGTAAATGAGAATAGCAATACAACATATTAAAATCTCTGGGACATTATGAAGGCAGTACTAAGAGGAAAGTTCATTGCATGGAGTTCTTTCCTTAAAAGAAGAAAAAGTCAACAAATAAATGACCTAACATTATATCTCAAAGCCCTAGAGAAATTAGAGCAAATCAACACCATAAGCAATAGAAGACAGGAAATAATTAAAATCAGAGCTGAAATTAACGAAATTAAAACAACAACAACAAAAAAAAAACAGTCAAAGAACTTATGAAACAAAAAGTTGGTTCTTTGAAAATAAATAAAATTGATAAATAGCCAAGCTAATGAAGAGGGAGAGAAAATTCATATTACTAAATCTGGTGATGAAAAAGAAAAATATCACAATGGATACTACTGAAATACAGATATAATCAGAAACTATTTTGAAAATTTATACTTTAATAAAATAAAAAATCTTAAAGACATCAACAAATTTCTAGATACATATGTCCTACCCAAATTAAATCAGAAAGACATAGAAAAATTAAACATATCATTTTCAAGCAATGAAACAGAAGACACCATCAAAAGGCTACCAAKAGAGAAAAGCGCAGGACCAAACAGAATCTCAGCTGAGTTCTACCAGACATTCAAACAACTACTAACACCAATCCTCCTCACATTAGTCCATGAAATAAAAAAGGAGGGAACTCTTCTAAATTCAATGAAGCTAGTATCACCCAGATACCAAAACCAGACAAAGATATATAAAAGAAAGAAAACTTCAGATCAATATCCCTAATGAATATATATATTCATAGTAAAAATACTGTCAAAAACATACAAAAACATATTAAAAAGATAGTGCACCATGATCAAGTGGGGTCCATCCTAGGAATGCAAGATTGTTTCAACAGAGAAATCAATAAATATAATTCATCACATCAATAAAGACAAGAATGGCATGATTACGTCAACAGATGCACAAAAAGCATTTGACAAAATACAGCACCCATTCATGTTCAAACACTAGAAAAACTACCTCAACATTGTAAAAGCTATATATGCTAAATCCAAGACCAACATCATTTTAAATGAAGAAAATTTGAAAGCATTCCCTCTAAAAACTACAAGAAGACAGGGTGCCCTGTTTCACCACTTCTATTCAACAYAGTCCTTGAAAGTCTAGCCAGAACAATTATACAGAAAAAAGAAATTAAAGGGATACAAATAGGAAAAGAAGAACTCAAACTCTCCCTATTTGCAATGACATGATTCTATATTTAGAAGACCAAAAAAAATTCAACCAGAATTTCTAGAACTAATAAATAAATTCAGCTAAGTAGCATGATATAAAATTAATACCGTAAATCAATGGCATTCCTATACATTAGTTATGAATTAGCTGAAAGAGATATTATGAAAACTTTCCCATTCACAATACCCTCAAAAAATAAAATAAAATACTTGGGAGTCAATATAACAAAAAAAAGTAAAAGACCTCTAAAATTAAAACTACAGAACACTAAAGAAAGAAATTAAAGAAGACCTTAGAAGATGGAAAGATCTCCTATGTTATYAGATAGAATTAATATTTTCAAAATAGCCATACTACCAAAAGCATTATACAGGTTTAATGCAATTCCTATTAAAATTCCCATGATGTGCTTCACAGAAATAGAAAAAGCAGGGCTTGGGTTGTAGCTCAGTGGTAGACTGCTTGCCTAGTATGTGTGAGGCACTGGGTTCAATCCTCAGCACCACATAAAAATAAATAAAAATATTGTGTCCATCTACAACTAAAAATATTAAAAAAGAAATAGAGAGAGCAATCATGAAATTCATTTGGAAAAATAAGAGGCCCAGAATAGTCAAAGAAATCCTTAGTGAAAAACTTGTGAGGCATCACAATAATAGACCTTAAATTATACTACTGAGCTATAGTAACAAAAATGGCATGGTATTGACACTAAAACAGACAAGAAAMGCAATGATGCAGAATAGAAGACACAGAAACAAATTCACATAAATACAGCTATCTCACATTAGATGAAGACACCATAAACATATATTGGAGAAAAAATAGACTCTTCAACAAATGGTGCTGGGGAAACTGGAAATCCATATATAGCAAAATGAAATTAAAATGCTCTCTGTCACCCTGCAGAAAACTCAAATTGTATCAAAGACCTAGGCATTAGACAAGAGATCCTGCACCTATTAGAAGAAAAGAGATCCAACTCTCCCTCATGTCAGCTTAGGAACCAAATTCCTCAACAAGACACCTAAAGCACAAGAAATAA